CGCCTCATATCACGAGAAGTTCTGGGTCACACGTAGAGATCAATGGGTCCCCGCGTTAGCAAACTGTCCAGAGAAGACGCGACATATGAGAATCACGAACGTCGGCGAGAAGGTGCTGATCCCCCATCAAACCTTCGGGTCGAGATCTGGCTGACCGGCGATCACGTCTCGCGACTACTAGGTTTCATCTCAGTGGGGTTCCAGCGCTATATAGAGTAGCAGAATCTGGCTATGGAAGCGACCATGGATCCTCGATCTGGAACAAGAAGATCCGCATGTACTTGCGGTGGACCGCCCCGAGCTCGGAAATCCACGTACAATAGTGTAACGGCCAAGATCGACTGCGATCAAGCGTTGGAAGAGCGGAACAAATGAATATCAAGTTGTTCCTGCCGATTTGCCTTCAGACAATCCATCGTCGGATAACCCGCCGCCAGATTGTCGACTGCTGGATGTGAGGTCGGTCGCAAATGATGAGTCGGACCTCTCATCTATCGCAGATGATAACTCTGTGTCATATGTTGTAATGGTCGTGAAGGCGTTGGACGATCGGAATCCGGGCGTATCAGACATCCTAACGACGGATCCGGCTTCAGTTAAAGATCCAGCCTCGGAAGCGGTATTGGCAGATGAAGATCTAAGTGGTGCAATCGGTTTGGGTCGAGATAAGCAGTCCTAAGAAGTCCAAAAATCCGAAACGTGGCGACACTGAAGGGTGATGGGGCAAACCCATCATCATTGATGTGTGTAGAGACTGGGACGTGACATAAGTCAGGATGGTAGGCGTGCAAAAGTTGAATGATCAACTCCCACCAACTGAACTGAACCTCTACAATATCAGTTCAGTTTCTCCTCGTCGCAACTGACACCATCTGACAGTAAACTATCGTCATAGTTTATTCTATATATTCAGGGAACAATATCTGCGCCAGATTAGATATTTGCTCTAATAATTTAAATTAGCATACCATCGGGAAATTCATTTACAGCGGGACAAGCCCCTCCCTACAGTCTCTAAACGGATCAAGGCCCCTGTAGATCAAACCTACAGCGTTAAAGCGGCATCACCATGTCCGTGCAATGTAGGATATTCTCGCCGCTGGTAATGATCAAGATGCTGCTATTCGCCGTTACTCACACCATAATCAAGCGCAAGTTATGCACGAAGGTGTCTGGACAATGCTCTTTGGCATGGTAATACACACCGTGATGCATTTAAGACCCTCGCCGGCAACTATGCCGAATGCAAGACCGAACAGCAGATGAACACGATCTACAGCACCGGCATAGAACACAGTACTTCTATTGAACCCCAGATTTTGGTCAACAGCACGATCCAGGGGCCAATGCTTCTCGATACCTATCGTCTACGGAGAACAGCACGACCCTGGTGCTCAGTTCGTCCATGGACGTCACGAAGTTGGTGTTGCGCATACGATGTATTTTTCTCAAACGTATCATGTGCCTAGCACATTCTCACAATGATGTTCTTCCTGATCATGAGCTCGAGCCAGCACCAGCAATTCCACCGACTCCGGAAAATATGTTCAAACTGAAGGGCGATCACAAACCAGAGATGTGGGACGTTATTATATTGGTTCGCAAAGATGAAGATGCAGATGTTGCTAAAGGAGATTTCGTTTACGATTACGCTGGAGGTGCTCATAATCTGATTTACAATATGGATATCTCGTACATCAAGGGCACAACCAATTTTGTGAAGAGTCACATGGGGAAACATCAATCCTAATATCTTAAAGACGCCAAGAAAGCAAAAGTTGCGACCGCGGCGGCCAACCGCAACTCAGGAGTGACGTTGAATACCGGTTGCGTATACAGTACCATTGAAGAAACAAAAGCTTCGACCACCGTACCAATTACGCCGGAACAGCAAATTCACGCAAATAAACTACTTGTAGTTTGTATTGCCCAAACCTACGACCATTTTCCACTGTTGAAATCTCAGGATTAGATGCATGTGTACGGTATATATGTGAAATGCTAGGTGGAATCATTGTGAAGCTTCCCAGACGAACGCTTCTTCGTCGTGAGTAGTCGACGTTGCAGAACACTTCGTGTTTCAGTGAAGATGATAATTCAGCGAGAATGTTTTTATTACTCTGTTACAACAGATATTTGGATAAGCCGTAACCCTGATAGCTACATGGCGCTCACATTACACTACGCGGCAGCAGGCCGCCGGATTCGTAGTTGAACGATAGAGGTTGAAGTTTTCCCTGGACGCAATAGTGGAGAAGCAATTGCGTCAAGTTTGTCAAATGTTTATATAGATGGGGCCTCAATCCGGTTCATTGCGTAAGATTACTCCGTGATGGAGGGTTGAACGCTGACCTGGCCGGTGAAATCATGGGTGTGAAACTCATGTCGTGCGTGGCACACTCGATCCATTTTGTGGTTGGAGAAGCGCTGATAAAACGGAAGGCGAAACGCAAGAAAACTGCCAACCAGTCATTGCTTTCACAAACTACCACCGACCAACTAGCAACTACAAGGTTAGGTGCTTTACCTTCGGCAAACATGACCACTGATTCAATTCAAGTAAACAAAGACATCATGCACGTGTAAGCAGAAGATATCAATGGATTCGATGAAAATAGGGAGAACCCATATGACACAAATGCAGAGGAAGCAATGCTTGATCTGGGAGGACCTGAAGGTGTTATTACGTCCGTCGCTGAAGCTTAGGAGCTCCGGTTTTGGACGCGGGTAATTTTTGGAGAGGAAGACGCTTATGTAGCTGATACCTGTCTTCAAGAACGATCATGCGCTGAGCTCTCAGAATCCTTAACAAAATAGCTAGCATAGGGGGCGCGGCCAGTTCTAGATGAAATGCTGGGCATCGTTCAGAAGTTTCGGAACATTGCCGTTTACATGCACAAATCTCCAAAAGCAAAAAAGGTTCTCGATCAACTGTAGCATTCGCAAGTGGGTAGTCGATCATTAAAAGTAATGATTGACTATCCTACTCGTTGAAATAGCGCCAGGGATATGCTCGCGCGCATGTTGTAGTTGAAGGAACCGCTCGCATTATTTTACGTACCTCGTTAGCACAGAAGGCAAGAAGAAATTTAAGGAGCTGAAGTACTTGACCAGCACCCAAAGATTGGCTTGCTGTGAAGTGCCTGCTAGCGTTATTGGACCCTTTTGCTGCTGTTACGGAGGAATGGCGTGATGGGTACCCAACATTTGCTCTCAGACTCCTATTTTTCGATGCCTTAGCCAGTCATTGTGTCAAATGGGTCTATTTGACGACATCTGAAGTGTGGAAGGACCACATGGATATTTCAACAAAATTAAGGCTTTGATGAATAGAATTCGTATAGCTTTGATGAATTTGTTCGAGAAGCGTTGTGAGAAGTTGGCTTCCCAGTTATTGTGGGTAATGTTATTGGATCCGCGTGTGATTGGTATGGACCTATGTAGCAAGGAGGAGAAAATTGAAGCCAATACACAACTTTTAGACGCAGTTGTTGAAGTCGCCGCTGACCTTATTCCGGTGTTGTTGCCAACAGAGGCACCTATTCCACGTATCCCCGTTGTGTGTAACAAAAAGAGATGAAATCGAATTTTAGAGCAAATGTATTTGGAAAACAAGAGAGTCGCCAAGCCCCTCACCCCGTTAACCCTGCTCTACGAGAGCCGAAGATTGGTTTAAAATGTAAAATCGAGATGGAAAACGATTTCACTACTGCAGCCGTAAGCGATGACGACGATCCATTACGCTGATGGCGCCAACGTTTCCGGTCAATTCCGTCCTAGCTAAAAAATGGTTAAGTCGTGTAGCAACATCCGTACCTTCTAAACGGGCATTTTCTACAGCAGGGAATATTGTGGCTGCGAAAGGCAGCTCACTGCACCCGTATGTAGTCCGTGACTTGATTTTCATTCATAAAAACTACGTCGAAGAACCACAAAGCAAATGCTAAATCAATACACTCGCTTTTACAAAATAATCGAAACATATCATAAATAATACACGTTTAAAATAATTACTAGTAGTAGTAGTAGTCAATCCAATTGTGCGGATTTAATAATCAGACGCCGGAAGAAATCGAGCGACTCCGTCAGCGGATCTGAAAGTTATGATATTTCTTGATCGGCAAGGGAAATGCGCTCCCGCCGGCAGCCCGAGGGGTTGTGCGTGATATTATGTGAAAGGAGCATGCCGATCGCGTTTAAGTGCCGTAAGCTGCGGATCCAGTTCCGAGAGAAGTTGGCAGAGCTGATCAAGGATCTCCTGTCTGCGAAGAAGATCAACCATTCAAGATCGCCATGGGCATCACCGATCGTCGTGATCATCAAGAACAACTGTGCGTATATACGATTATGTAAGACGTGATGGTTGTATGTGCCAGTGATTGGGCGATCTCCGGTGCATTAATGCAGGAGTATGATCAGATCAAATATTCAGTGATGTTCGCGAGACGTATGTTGACGCTCAACGTGTTAAACTACGAGATCTCAGAAAAGGAGGTGTTGCCATTGATGCGGATCCTGGATCTCAATTACAATACTTTAATTGGGAGACACACCCGAGTGCTGATGCGGCATTCTATTCTTGGTTATTTAGATCCAATGCATTACAAGGTCGCCTGGGACAGTAGGCCGCGCTACTTGCACCCTGGATCCTCAAGATCGTCAAGTGTAGCAAGGGCAAGAGTGAGATCGTGGCCACATTAGCAGCCAGTATCACTCCCAGATTCGAAGTCTACTATGCACTGATATCGATCGCTCCGAAGATGGAGCTGAGACGCAAGAACCGAGCCCCGATCCCGACAGTGAGACCAGAGGAGGATCTATATGTCACTAGCTATGACGGATCCTCCCGTGTCAAGCGAGGTGGAGGAGTCTACAGCGCGATCCGGTGGAAATTAGCTGAGTAGACTGTGGTGAAGGCCAAACCCTGCTATGGCGAAGGTTTAACCGTCAATGAGGCCGAATATCATGGCCTTTGGTTATGTCTTGACGTGCTGGAAGGGATGGATCCGTTACGATTGGTCATCTGTGGCGACTCAAAGTTGTTGATTCCGGTAAGTTAGAGAGGAGATTGACTGCAAGCCACCCGGATTGACATTGTTCAGACAGAATGTGTTGGACAGGCTGCAGATCCGTTCGGATCATGAGTTGGTACATGTGAAGTGGGACTGGAATGGAAGTACAGATAGTCTGACTAGTGCTGCACTGCAGCGACAATGTGGAGCCGAGATCGAAACCGATACTGAGGTCCAAGATCTGATCACGTTCAAGCGACTGGAAGATAAATTCGCGGTGAAAACCGAAGATGCGACAGTGCAGATCTCGGCCGTTACAATTAGATCAAAGATAAGATCTGGCGTGAGATCAGGATCCAACCTCCCCCTGTATTGTGCGAGGAAGTGATCAGAGAGCTCAGGATCGAGCGGATACGACAGGCACAGGACGAGGAGGCGTGGATCCATTGTCTGAAGAAATATCTGGCTGACGAAGTGCGTGATCTGACACAGGAAGAGGCTAGATCCTACTGATCCATTATCATGAATTACTAAGTGGATCAGCACGATCTCCTTTTCTACGACCCTGCTACGCAAGAATCAGCTGTGGATCGGGACAAACGGATGCGACAGGTGCTACCAGAAACGTTGCATCAAGATGTTCTACATCATTATCACACGAGTATTCAAGGTGGACATCAGGGGATCGGCTGTCCTTACGATCGAATCCGGGATCACTTTCACTGGAGAGGATAGTACCGCATTGTACAAAGATATGTCGGCGAATGTGTAGACTGTCAGACGGGAAAAGGGCGACCGCGGACTCAAGGCGGATCGTCGGGCAGTCTTCAAGCGCCTTATCCATTCCAGATCATCGCTAGGGATCACATCCTCTCATTGCCTAGATGTTATAAGGTAACACCGAGCTGTTGATCTTCGGGGATCTTTTCTCTGGTTACGTGATCGCCAAAGCGAACGGATCCAGGACGGCTCATACAATGGTAGAGTCCTCTAAGGAATATGTGTTCCGCCGATTTGGTGTCAGCGAGGTGATCCGCCATGATCGTGAATCTGGTTTTATGTCCAATTTCTTTCGCGCGTTTAACAAGATCCTGGGTCAGCATCAACGTGCAACAATAGCATATAGGCCCCAGGCGAACGGGTCCGCTGAAAGAATGGTGCCGACCAGCACAAGGGCACTTAAAATATATGTTCAAGATTAGAATCAGCGAGATTGGGACAAGTATGCAGAGCGACTTCCATTTGCGATCAACACTGCTCGAGATCGGACCCGAGGAGAAACACCACTATACATGGTTCATGGTTGGGATCCGAGATTCACACTGGAGGCGGTGATCCCGATGGGAAGTACAAGAAGACAGGATCGGGATCCGAGACGATAGTGATATCGGATCCAGAAGAACTACCAACAGGTACGAGAGCAAGTCAGTCAGTGCTTACGGGACGCGATCTCAGATCATGACGATAAGCACAACGATATAGTACGCCCACATCAAGTTGAAGTTGGATCCCGAGTCTGGTTATACCTGGATCGGGTACGAGAGGGATATGCCAAAAAGCTCGCGCATGTGTGGCATGGCCTTTCCCTGTGGCTGAGAAGATCGGTGAGTACGCGGTGAAACTCGAGATCGCCGGATCCGCATACAATATCATCCCATAGTTCACGTGTCGAAGATCAAGCCTGTTAGGGAATTTCCGGATCAGCCGGTAATACGTCTTACGGTACAGGATCAGGATCAGGATCGCCTAGATTTCGACGAAGCACTCCTACCTGGAGATAGCTGAAATTAAGATTGTGCTCCAGACAAATACGAAGTCGAGTGGACCTCGGATATGAGGACTGAGGTATGACCTGATCATGCGTGACATTGTGGTAGATTGGTGTGGGTATGAGGTTCCGCCCTGGATCAATGAGGCAGATCTCAACTCTGGAGCTACACTCCATGAGTTCTTGCGTGATCGCGCCGATCAGAACCGGTTTGGCGTGTAGCAATCTCACGAAGGAGCTAAGTGCAGGATCCGCATCAGTGAGCTGTTCACTGGTGCGAGAAAGCTAGAATAGAGGATCTGCAGGGAGGCTGCGGATCGGACGAAGGCAGGTATATATATGGATATATGGTGATGTGCTGAAAACTACAGATGCCAAGATCCAAGATGATGTGTAGGTGGATCGTGGGTCAATGGAGGTTTCATGAGTAACACGAAAGGAGACATATATTAGCGGGAGGAACACAGATCTGCAAACCACCAGAATCAGCCGGCACCACAGGATCTGCAGGTACGCCCGATTCCGGTGGTGTGTCGAGCACTCACCATGCCGGAGAACTTCTCCGCCAGCGAGGGATCCGATGCGCAGGGTGATCCATTGTAGAACCGCGATGGTGGGGAAGTGGGGGAAGATGGGATAAAGCATGAGATCGAGGTCACACCAACCCTTCTGCATGTCCGCCACAAGATAGATAGGATATGATCCTGCGCCAGCGATCGCCGGCATTTGATCATTGATTGTTGCGCACCTTGCAGAGCGCAGCCATACGCGGAGAGGATTCACACATGCGCTTAGCGATGGGAAGCTTGTGGGTGGATTCCCAATACGCGATGAAGTCGCAGATATCTAACCCCGTGGGTACTCTTCCAGGAAACCCCCAAGTCGACCAGTTACCAAGATCTTGAAGCAGAAGGGGTCCGGCACATTACCCCCGCCGAGGATCCCCCACAGAGACTTGAGGTTGAGAGCGTTGATGTTGTTTGCGGTGATTATGTGGGCGCAGTAATCTGCATCGGATGGAGACCGAGATCGTGACGCATGATGAGTATAAATCCACTCGCATCGAAAGGGTAGCGCAGTCGCAAGGAGATTCACCGTCATCGTCATGATTGTCCATCGACCTAGATCATCCAACACCCAGCGATCGATATCGGCGGCAGAACACTCATGGATCTGGGTGCGGCCTGGAATACAGCGATCTTCGGCAAGGTGCTCTTGAGGTGACATCGCTGGATTAGGGGGTGGACGATCACCAGGAGGTCGATCAGCAGGAGTGTCTGGAGTGTCATCATCTCCGTTGTCTGATCCGTCGTCGCCCCGATGGTCTGCTCTACCGTCACCGGTACGACGCGAAAACGCGTGGTCACGTCGACGTTTCGCTGATATTTACTAGACAATAGCTCGAAGGGTGACCTCTTCGAACATGTAATCAGCGACCGCCTCGGTCTCGCCATCGGTAGATGGAGAAGAACTGTCCGGATCCGTTGTGTCTCCGTGATTTTCATTGCCGTCTGCGGGATGATTCTTGGTATACCCGTGAGATCCAAGATCTGCGGTTGAGGGCCATCATCGTGAGGATTCGGTGTGGATCCTCCAGGCTTCCGTTTCGGTGGTGTGTTATCGCTACTCGAGTTACCGGATCCACCAAGTTCAAGAGCAGCGTTTAGCAGGTCAAACGAAGAAAACGAGTCATCCGGACCCAAACGCATCTTGTGGCTCTTGTGCCGGCCTCGTCATCGCCTAGGTCACCATCTGGCAGAGATCCGCCACCCATGTCGATATCTGCCAGTTTCTCAGTCTGATCATCGACATCTTCGTCCTCTATAGCTCGTGACTTGCGTTGGGAGGGGCGACTGGGACTGGAGGAGGAGGATGGACTACGTGACCGCTGGGTACTCTTTTTCGAAGGCAATTCAAATCCGTCGATGGGCGGATCATTATTACTCTTAGGTGATTTTTAGCTGTGGTGTCGGGTGTTGAAGGCGCTCCAAAGCCATGGTCACTGAGCTAATGACCAGGTCTAAATTCGGTGAAAGATGAAGACCTGCCGTGATAGGTCGAAACCAGTACGCGTCAGTGACACTCATGAGGCTCGGTCCGTCTAATATAAACCAGACCGAAGTCTCTAGAGTAGGAAATGTCCTTATCGAAGACTAGTTTAGGATTTGTACCAATGTCAGATCCGGAACCTCGGTCATCCCTATGTAGAATCTGTGATAGCCTATGATGATCGTCTATACTTGATATTTGTATGTACGGTTAGGATTAGATTCTAGAAGGCTCTCAGGGCCACACGTATTCAGAATACAATTCGCAGTCTTCCCCCGAAGTGAAATATGTCAAATCCGTCTTCGGTAAGTGTAGCTAGCTTATCTTAGAGACAGGTCACGCTTAGTTTGGTGGATGGCTGTTGGTAGATTAAAGTACAGGTCTATTAGGGTCGATCCAAGAGTTTGGTGTTGACCGAGAGATCGGAGGCGACAGTGACTGTCGTTGCGTGCGTACTTGGTGATTTTACGAGGCTCACAGTGTATTCTATCATCCACCGAGGTTTATCCTCGGTACCCCTATATTAGGCTATAAACGCCGGTACTTTTCCTTAGACGGACTGCAGTGGGTTAGCGTGAAAGCGCAACATCGCATCCTAGTCCAAGCCCGTGACTAGGCGTGCAGGTTTAAGGGTCAACCTACCACCGATCGGTATACCAAAGCGCTTGCAACCGGCCCGGTGTAAGGGCTCGTTCCTAAACTTCAGACTAGATCAAACAATCTCTAACCTCTGCAAGGAAGCGAGTGTTCTTGGTGGGAACTCCCCCGATTAAGTGAGATTTTTATCGTGCCCTATACGACGATTGGTACCGTGACCCGGGATCTAGTGTGGCCTTCGGTGTGTTATGGTGTGTGTAGGTGTTGACCTAACGAGCAAGTGAAGGAGAAGAAAGAAGAAGAGACAAGATGACGAAAGGAAGTAAGTTAGCAGCAAGTACTAGCAACACCGGTGAAATTCGGCCGGAGTTAGTTTCCGATGTTAGACCCAAAAATTAGTCAGGTAAGCGGTGTGAATAAATCTTGGAGCTGAGCTTGGGGTACCTGTTGATTCCACAAGCACACGGCAAGTAGCCCAAGACTCAGTGTTACTCGTCCGAGCTATGGGGTGCAAACCTCAGATGTTCCCGTCGGAGGTCGCACTGAACGATTGGACAGCTGCCGATCTCAGTACGGCGCTACTTAAGTGGAATAAGAGCTTCGGGTAGCTTTTGGCATAGGAGAATTTGCCCCAGGCCGTCAACTGGTCGCCCGACCAGCAACGGGACCAACAGATTCGTCACAAGTCCCACTACCGATGACGCCCATGAAGCAACAGAATAGAAACACTGATGATGTGGTATTCGGGTCAAAGGGGACCCCATATATGCATGACTCGTATATGGTGACACCAAGATCAGAAGACCGTCAAGAGCGAGTCGTGATGGAGACCGACGAGTGGAAACCGACTCCCAGTACGCGCCAAGACACCGGACGAAGTCGGTTTCAATGGTGCGATCTCCAAGAAGACTTGTCGGACAGTGAGGACGAAGTGGGATACATTAATTATCTGGCAGGAGACTTGACCGAAGAATGGGCCCGATAGATACAGGAACTAAGCAAGGCGGAGAATAAGGACACGACTCTGAGGCCTGAAATTGCCACACATCGACCTCTAGACAACATAAAGACATTCTCGGGGTTGCACAACAAGAACGAGAACTCAATGGAATGGCTACGAGGTTTCATCTACGATATGAAGGGAACGCACACGCCACCGAACGAGTGGTGCATGGCGTTCGAGGTGAGGCTGCAGGAAGGTGTGGTGTTGGGTTTCCAGCAAAAGCGACTTGCCGGCGCGAGTGCTGTGTTGGTGAA